AAAAAAAAAAAAAAAATTCATGCCATGCCTGGCTTTGCAACATGGAATATTTTTTGATGAATTTAAAAATGCTTGCAATCAAAAACAAATCTCTGCCTATTATCTATGAGTCCTCAAGCCCATCCTACTCAATCATATCACGCTGTTTATTCTACCATGAAAAGTGGTACTTGCCTGGCACGGTGGTGCAAGCCTGTAATCCCAGCACTCGGGAGGCTGAGGCAAGAGGATCACTGTGAGTTCAAGACCAGCCTGGGCTACACAGTGAGTTCCAGGTCAGTCTCAACTACATAGTGAGACCCTGTCTCAAAAAACAAAAAAAAAAAAAAAGGTACCCACCCTTGGAGGACTGACTACCTTTACACTGCCTGGGTCACAGTCTGAGAGTGTGGTCAAGTGAGACCTTAGTCTACTCAAAGTTCTCCTGCCATCTATGGACTATGTGATTTTGGACAAATTACTTAGCCTCTCACCACATGATTCCTCACTATGTGTAGACCTGTAATCCCACAGTTTGGGAGGCTGAGGCAGAGAGTTTGAGGTCAACATGGGGTAGGCAGTGAGTTTGAGGCTAGCCTGAACTATACAGCAAGACCCCGTCTCATAAACAAAATCAAAACAAACAAAAAAACCTGTTTCTTCATCTGTAAAATCCCATGTAGAATATTTGGCATGCTTGTTAGTACAATGAGAGTTTAATAAGGCGTCAATAATTATTTTCATTTAGTTATTATTTATGAGTAGATGAATCTATTAGTCAGTCCCATGAAGCACATTTCCTCCCTGAAACATACACCGGCAAGGGTTTTTCAGCCTCAGCACTATGAATAGTTCTTTGCTGTCGGGCCTGTCCCGTGCATTATAGGTTTCCCAGCATCCCTGGACTCTACCCACTAGGTGTCAGCAGCACGCACACACACCCCAGCTCTGATAAGCAAAACTATCATCTGAGATTGGCAAACGTTCCCTGGAGAACAAACCCTAGAATATGCAAAGCAGCTCTAGCAAGTCTGGTGACCATAGCAAAGTTCCCATTGTCGTGTCCTCCCCAAATTACAGCCACCTCAGTGCCACTTGCTCACCACTCAGTTGCCTTGGAGGGAAGAGGTGATAGGTGCTGTAGATGTCATTGGAGAACTGCAACTGGAGCTCAGGGCTGCCTGTCAGGAGCTGGGCCACCTGCTCCACCTGAAACGGTGTCTTCTCCAGGATCACAACAGCATCCTCTCCAACCCCACCCCCAGAGTCCTCATTCACCTGCGGGGCAGAGACACCATCAGTGAGGCCAAGAGCAGAGCCACAGGTGAGGCCTGTGAAACAGAGGCGGAAGTTCACAGGGCCTGCGACATCCCAGTACTTGGGATTTCCTTCCTTGCAGCCTTCCTCTGGGGAAGTCTAACTATGTCATTTGTGTTCTTCTCTTAGACGAGGTGTCTTAACCTGAATCCTTGTGGCAACCTGCACATCTTTCTTCCAAAAGACGCAAAGTTTCTCAGCTATCTTCTACTTTGGTTTATAAGACCTCTGCCAAACTCTCCCCATTATAGAAGAAAAGATGAAGAAACAGAGACCTATAGAGATGACATGACTTGCCTAAAGCTGTACCAACAGTTACTATTGAAACAGAAACTAGAACCCAAGTCTCCCAGCTACCTCAGTTGGAAGACTGTCATGCCTGACAACTTCAGCAGGCGATGCACAATGAAGAAAGTGGGGCTGAGAACACCAGACAGGCCCTTGTAAATAAAGACAAGAGACACAAATAGAGGCACAGAAGCCTGGGCCTGGATTCTCCCAAAGATGTGAGCTCCTGCTAGTAGTTCTGGGGAACCCCCAAACATCCATTGGCTAGGCCTCTTCACTAGTTCGGGATGGTGTCTTTCTATTCCTAGCCCTTGCAAGACAGCTGAGCACACAGCATTCAAAGTCAGTAAGATATCTGTTTCCAGACATACCATGTAGTTATGAAGATCACAGTGGTACTCTCAGCTCCACCTCCTCACACACTTACTCCATAGCACACATGAAAGTATTACTAGGCATGAAGTTAGGCTTTAATGGGCCTGATGGACAAAAGGGGTGGATACAAAATAGCATTCCTTTTCAGTTAGGTAAAGAAACACAGATGCCAGTGTAGAATACATTTATAGTAATTTCTTAGGTCTTAAGCACAGAGCGATCCCACAGAGCACAATGACACCACAGAGGAAAATTACACATTGTGCACAGTCCTTCTGATCCCTGGCTACCTGGCCAGCTAACTCCAGAACGAGGCACACCACATTCCTGCCTGCCATAGCCCACAGCCCAGGGATATCAGAAAGAGAAATATTCTTTAAAGATTCTCCTGCCTTGGGATCCGACCTGTTTTAAATTAAGAGCTTACTTTTCATAAGTTTCTTACATGATTAAAGCCCCAAGGAAACACTAACAACCGAAAAAGACTGGGAGAAATTTTTCAACTCCTTGGTAATTTTTAAGTAAAACAGTGATAAGCATAATTACTCCAGCTCCCTAACACCCAGGAGTAATTCTTTGGTGCATAAAAATGTATCCAAACTCACACTCTGTAACTACTCACAATAAATTCTATCTATACTTCTGCAGGGCCTACGTGTCTTGACTGAATTATTTCACCAAAGTTAGAACCGAGGACTAAGGAAGCGAAGGGCGAGCTGCTCACCCATCAGAACCCGGCTTCCCCGTAACAATATGTGAAACTGGACTAACAAGTTAGCAATCTAACAATTATGCTGAAATGTAAAGCCGGGATCTATCTCTTTCAGTCTTAACGTCATCTCCAGGGCTAGGGGCCAAGAAGACATCCAGCAACATTTACTGGATTCCTAGCGCCTTAATATATTGAATGAATGGTGATAAAGGACTTGAGGAATTTAGACGAATTTCTTTTTACCTGATACACTCTATAAAGACGAGTGCATATTTGTAGGGAAGGAAAAATTAGGAAATTAAATTTAAATGTATTCATTCCTTTACCTCATGGGTAATGTCGTCGCCCGGAGCACTGCAATGGTCCCTCACTCCCAAGAATTTCCCATCATAAACTTGGTATTTTCCCGCTGGGACGGGAAAACTCCGCCTCCGCAGCGACAATTGGTTCCCTCCTCCCGCGTCCCCACCCTCGGATGCCCAGTGGTACCTTCCCGTGTAGGAAAATGATTTTGTCCCTCGCAGACTCCCTCAGTACTCTTTGCACCCTGAAGCCAGAGAACGGTAAGCAGACCGGGTCAGAAGTACCATTTCCAACACCTGCTTCCTTTTCCTCTGTGCTGGGAGCCTCCACATCCTCGGCATCGAGTTCACGCTTTCTCTTGGGTTGCAGCGGAACTGCCTCCGCCATTCTGCCCAGAAGGCTCTGTGCGCCTGCGCGTAGGAGCCGCAGTCTCCGCCCCTTGGAGGGTTTCTTCAGACCAGACCCGGCTGAATCCAACCTCAACTCCCGGCGTGCATTGCGTACTCCGCGCCCTCGGATCTGCGACTCCAATTCCCGGCGTGCTCCGCGTCGCCAGGGCTGCGACTGCAATTCGCATCGATGGAGCTACAGCTACAACTTCCGACGTACCCTGCGCTGCAGATCCGCTATTCCAGTACTCGGTGTATTGCACCCTCCTGCAGCTGTGACTCTTTGCGTGTCTCCAACAGATTCCTTGGGTGTGCGCGCAGCTTGGAACGGATCTCATTCTCACCCTTCTCCGGCTGCTGGCCGGCACCGAGAGAAAGGAAAGGTCGGGCTAACTGTAGTGCATAGTGAAGATCCCCCCCAGAGGGGACCTCGGGGCGCAAGCCGGAAGACCCTCCTTGTTCCTGTCACTGTTGGACACCTTGTCTGAATACTGACTTTTTGAAGCCAGTTACACCCACGCTGAGGAATGACTGTGGAATGTTTCTCGAACATAACTACCAGCCTGTTTTCTTAGATGGTTGTTTATAGCAAATACTTAACCCATTTTCATTTTTCTCTCATTTTTATTATTTTACAAAAATTTTTGTGATCAGTGCTTTTTCTTTATAGATTCAGCACATTTTGCTGAAAAGAAAGGTAAACAAACAGGCCAAAGGTAAACCTGGAGTGCACAGCTAAACGTGCTCACTCACCTGCCAACTGGAGGCTGCTACCACTATGCCTTAGTTACTGCTGTGGTATGGAGCTTCCTTTTTCTTTTTGCAATATAAGACTTTTAGTTATACTTTATCATTTTGTAAGTTTATTTTGTGTCCATTTTTCTAGCTAGCCCATTTTTCTCGGTATTACTCGACAGACACAAATTTTGTCAAGATTTGATACTTGCATCAAGTTTGAATTAGACAACCGTTTTTGCCAGCGTTTTCAACTTATCTTTTTAGACACATCTGTGATTGTGAGACAACTTTTGCAGTTTTCAACATTAGATACAAGCTGCAATTTTCAGTCAGCTTTTGGTCAGTAACAGTGTACCAAGTTTTAATAGATTGAGTTTTGGACTATTTCTATTAGAAGCACATATTATAAACTGGGTGAGACGCTGTTTTGTGAAGCAGAGGACAATTTTAGGGGGACTTAGAATCTGGAATAGTTATCTGCAACAAAAAATTTGTCGCTCGTCCACAGGTTTCGTGGATACATTGTCATCTTATAGGAATATACAATAAAAGATTATAAATTCTGTGCAAGACAAGGGCCAGGGATTTAGCGTAGAGGTGCCACCACCTGCTTCCCAAGCACAAGGTCAAGTTTGATTCCTGGTACCAAATAAAAAGGATGCAAGATTAGAACAAAATACTGTTCCTGGGGGCCAGAGATTTAGCTCAGTGGTACTGCCGCCTGCCTCGCAAGTGCAAGGTCCCAAGTTCAATCTTTCAAAAAATATATATACTGTACACTGAATGGCAGATGACAGTAACAAAACTTGCTCTATCTTTTGAAAAAAGGTCTGCATTTTTTCCAAATCAGAAAAATGGATGAGAATTTCAAAACATTAGTTTGGAAATTTGTAGCCACATATTGGAAGAAAGTAAAAATTCACTCGGGAGGCTGAGGCAGGAGGATCGCTGTGAGTTCGAGACCAGCCTGGGCTACATAGTGTGTTCCAGGTCAGTCTCAACTACATAGTGAGACCCTGTTTCAAAAAACCAAAAAAGAGAAAAAAAAAAGTAAAAATTCAGACTCAATCCAATTGGCAGGTAAAGTCTGAAAAACAATGAAGTAAAGTTAAAAACAGATACAGTTTCCTTCTGAATTCTAATTTTCCCTCTCTACCAACCCCCCACTTTTGCCAAAGATAACATAAAAGTACATATTTCAAAATAAAAACATTTCAAAATAAATTTAGTCTCATGTTGTTATGTTATCAGTATATCTGTATTTTCTACTGATGACGAATATTAATTTTTAAGTAAATTTTAACTATACTTAAATAAATCATTAATATCATTTAGTATCTGTTACATATTACAAATTCTCCAACTCCCTCAAAGATGATATTTGTTTTTTCTCAAATCACCAACATTCCACACATCACTGCACTGTTTTATTATACCAAAGTATATATTTGTATTGTAGAAAACATGCATTGTGTATATGTGTTGGGGGTATGTTTTTTACACATATGTGTGCACTATTAAATGAGAAACATGGTCATCAACGTGGTAGGATTGTGCACATTTGACATATTGATAGTTTCTCTGGCAACCTTATGATTTCTCTAAATTACATGCTTGACTTAATTTATAGTCATTCGTTTGGGAAGAATATTACATATGTATTGGCGTTAAATTCTCATTATGCTTATAAAAATATAAAATAAGTATGGGATATAATAAAATAGAAACAAAATCTGATCTTAAAAATGTAAATTATTTTCGTTGCTTTTGGATTTCAAATATAAGTATATTTTCTTTCTGTGGGAAGTTTTGTTAGAAAATGTAAGTGGTACAATCAAGCATATGATATTTATCATTAATAAAACTAAGGAGTTTATAAATCATAAAATTTTGAGGACAGTTTCTCAACTATAATATATAACTTTGTTTTATTTGTAATTACATTTCAAAAATATAAGAAAATGAGAAAGAACATAATGTTTGAAGATCATATCAAACTAATAATGTATTTCAATTACATTTATGTGTTACATAAATTTTTGTTTATTTCATATCCTTTTTTTGCTGTCATTTATATGTATATTTGAAATTTTTATTTAGTATCTTCATTTCCTGTTATCATGTATGTTTGCAATCTTTAATAAAAAATCAGAAAATAAATTTAGTCTTACTTAAACTTGGCCTGATCATTTTATATAATTACATATAGCAAGAATAGCAGTTGAAACCAGGTGCAGTGGCACACACCTGTAATCCCAGCTACTTGGGAGGCTGAGGGAGGAGGATCACAAGTTCCAGATCAGCCTTGGCAATTTAGCAAGACCCTGTCTCAACAAAAGAATGGGCTGAGAATGTATCTTAATAGAAAGTCACGGGTTTAATCTCTGCTTACCATTCACACCCTCTGAATACCATTGCAGGGGCTGGAGATGTGGCTTTGTGCTGGAGCACTTGCATAGCATGCATGAGGCCCTTGATTTAATCCCAGCCCTGCAAACAACAACAAAAGCCTGCAATGGCAAGGTTACTGGTTTGGATTATGAATTGCTTTTTATCCTGGCTGGAATACAAAAAAAAAAAAAAAAAAACCAAGGAGGCTTGGAAATCAGTACCAGATTTTCCTTAACTTTGTCTGCAGGTCTGATCAGCCAGCATGGGTGAGAGATAACCTTAAAAATGGCATTTTAGCTGGGCATGGTGGTGCACGGCTGTAGTCCCAGCACTCGGGAGGCTGAGGCAGGAGGCTGAGGAGGAGTTTGAGACCAGTCTGGGCTACATAGTGAGTTCCAGGTCAGTCTCAACTACATAGTGAGACCCTGTCTCAAAAAACAAAAACAAAAACAAAAAAAATGGTGTTTAAAATTATATGCAGAGCTGGGGATTTAGCTCAGTGGTTCCACCTCCTGCCTCATATGCACAAGATCCCAAATTCAATCCCAAGTTGCAGTTTGTCTGCTTTTTTTCTAGCCCATATGTAGCAGACAAAGCATCTCTCCCTTGGGTTTGTCAGGTAAATAAGCAAAAAAAGTGCAGATTCAGAGACTAAAACTTATGTTTGTATAATTTAAGGTGGTAGATATGCCTGTTTTAATTAAGCCAAGAAAGTTAAGCTAGTCTTGTTTTTCAGAGGTTTACCGAAGTCATCTGAAGTGGAAAAATGTTTAGGTTAATTTATAAATGCTCATATATTCTAAGCCATTTTGAATGTAAACATGTATAGTCTTAAAAATATACACAGATTTTTAAAAAATAAATTTTATCCCCCCAACCCCTCCCCTCTCTATGTACAAATGCTTTGTTTCCATTTTTTTCTTTCACTGTTTATTGGTACATTTTAGATATATGGTACAGTTACATTCATTATTGGGATCTTGTAGCTTTACATGACAGGTGGTCTTGGTTCTCACTTTTTCCCCTTGTCCCTGCCCTCCCTTCACCCCCTCCTCCCCTCCCCACTTACAAACACTTTATTTCCATTTTCTCAAATTTTCCCTTATTACCTTTCCCCTACCCTTCCCACCTTCCCTACACCTTTAGCCCTTTTCTTCCCATTTCACAATGTCACTTATCTCATTAGGATCTTATGTACTAGTACAGTTTAGTCACAGCAGAGAAACTATTCGATATTTACACACATGTGACTTATTTATTTCACTTAGGAGTATAGCCTCAATATGCATCCATTTTCCTATGTGTCTAATTTCTCACTCTTTATGGCTGAGTAGTACTCTATTTTATAGAAAAACTACATCTTCTTTATCCAATCTCCAACTGATGGGCAAATGGGCTGTTTCCAAGTTTTAGCTATTACAGACTGTGCTGCTATAAACATGGGTGTGCATATATCACTCTGGTATGATTCCTTTAATTCCATTTTTTTCCATTTTCACTTTTTTCTTGTCCCTTCCTTCCTTTCTCCCTCCCTCCTCCCTTGTTCCCCTTCCCATTTGAACATTTTCATCCCATTTCCCACCACCAGATATACAACTCAGTCCTTATTTCCACATTCATCTTCTCCCACCAGAGAAACAATATATTTAAACATGTATGTCTGATTTATTCCACTTGAGTATGTTCTCAAGGTCCACTCATTTAGCTATAAATGTCTGAAGCTCACCCTTTATGGCAGAGTCCTACTTAA